AGTTAGGTTCAGAACTGGTTAAATGACTGAGTTCAAAGAGTAATCATTGAGAGTTCCATGTCAACTTTGAAAAAGTTCTCCAGTGGAGTTCTCCAGGGACTTGAGTTTGACCCTGTACTATTTAACGTTTTTATCAATGGCTTCCATAGCACCCCTTCTGGGACTACTCCCCCAATTCCCACTGGTGCTCAAATTCTCAAGTTGGGTTCTGTAGTTAGGCTACTACCTCTACGTTATAGGGTACGCCTATTAAAAAAAAACAAACCACACAACAACCCTATAGCTCACAAGCCCCCTTTGATATTACCTTTAATAATCAGCCATTAGACACAATTGGCTCAAAGCAAAGGCACTTAATAAAATGGCATAATAGCTACAAAAAATAAAATATTAAAAAAACCCCCATAAACCATATGCACACAATCAGTGAGAAGAGTGGACAGAGTACACTGATAGTGAAGCATACATATAAGGAAGACATGTGGCCGAGGCAATTCGCATCTCTGGTATTACAGAGTGCTGGGGTCCTTTTTCTTCTCAGGCTATGGTAGGATCTTAGATCTAGAAGGGACCTCAAGAATCCTAATCTAATCTAGTCTAACCACCTCATTTTACAAATGAAGAAACTGAGAACCAGGGAAATTAAGTGAATTGCTTAAGCTCACATAGGAAGTGTCAGAGGAGGGATCTGAAATGAGGTCCTCTGACTTCAGTACTTTCCCAACTATACCATGAAGAAGCAAGACCTGAGTTCAGGTCTTCCTAGTTCTAAGTCAAACTCTCTCTTTACTACACTGTGTTGCCACTCCCTGTGACCTTAAGCTGCTCCAACTTCAGAATTAGAGGTGCAGCTAGGTGGTGCAGTGGATAGAGCACCAGCCATGGAGTCAGAAGGACCTGAGTTCAGATCTGGCCTCGGACACTTGACAGTTACTAGCTGCGTGACCCTGGGCAAGTCACTTACTCCCAATTGCCTCATCAAAAAACAAACAAACAAAAAAACAGAATTAGAGAACTGATCATGTCATTGTCTTTCTTAGCATCACATTTTAGGAAGGAATTGGCAAACTGTTATGTTCCCAGAAGAGGGTGTCCGAGATGATAAGAGGAAGAGATACTAGATCATAAAATCGTAAAGCAAGACAGGGTGTTCCACTCACACCAACATTTGCTTGACATTGGCACTGAGGTGGAAGTGGGACCTGAATATTTTATTCAGGGTACAATCTCTGCAGGAGCCACCAGATGGCATTCTCAGCTCAAGCTGCTCCAGCTCCTCACCCCTTGGGGTGAGCAAATATAAAACTTGCCTGGGTCTCCATGCTTTCCAGATTTTCCACTGAATACCCTAGCCCTGGTTTGTTCTCATCTAGTCTAAGTGCTATTAATACATTCCAAACAATAATCTATAGCTTATTTAGCTCATTGCTGCCACATCCCATTCAAATTCAGGTGATCAGAAAGGATTTTTTCCACTAATATATAGATTACAGTACATTTTACTAAAGCAGAATTGAAAAACCTTAGAAGTCTGGAACAGCAGAGCCAGACTGTCCTGGGGAGAGCCTGAAATCTTTGCTTCCTCAGACTCTCTGCCACAGCAGTGCCTCACCACTCCTAGTAAGTTGTTAATCTCAACTTTCTCCACCCAATCTTCTAGACAGCTCTTTCTCAGGCACAGATGAAGGAAAGCAATCTCAAGAGCACCACTTTCAAAAATCTCATGGGGAAAGGAAGAAATAATCTCATAGCCATCCAATTCTTGGCCAGCAAACCAGACAAAAGCTGTTTAGTCCAGTGCTTCAGCAGGCATCACTTCTGAAGCCAGGTGATATGGCAGTGGCATTCAGGAAAGAGATTGGGGTTGTTATAGATCTGGGAAATCATGTAATTAGAAATGATAGTTGAATCTATGGCAGCTGATGAGATCACCATGAAAGATAGTACAGAGACAAAAGAGGAGAGGGCCCAGGACAAAGCTTTAAGGGATAACCCCCCCTTCCCCAGTACTGGGCATGACCTAGAGGAAGAATGAGCAATGGAGACTGAGGAGCGGTCAGATAGGGAGGAAGAGAACCAGGAAAGAGTACTGTCACAAAAACCTAGAAAGGAGAAATATCCAAGAGGATGAGGACTGAGAAAAGGCTATAATCAAGGCAATTAAGAGATCATCAGTAACTCTGGAGAGAGCATTTTCAGTTGAATGCTAGATTACAGAGAGTTTAGAACCAAGTTAACAGAATAGGAGGTGGAAGCACCTAGTGTGGACAGCATGCTCAAGGTGTCTAGCTGAAAATGTGAGAAGAGCTATAGGATGGTAGCTAGTGAGGATGGGAGGATCAAGTGAGGATTTTTAAAGAATTGGGCAGATGTGGGCATGTTTGTAAACAGCAAGGAAGAAGCCAACAGATAGGAAGAGACTGAAGATTAGAATAGGGATGATGGAGGAGACAGGGTGCAGTAGGAAAGAAGAGGGAATGTGACCAAGAGGGCCTGCAAAAAGTGCATGCTTGCCTTGTCAAGGAGTGCCACTTCTTCATATGAGACAGGGGTGGAGGAAGAAATATTGAGAGATGTCTGAGTAATGTGGAAAAAAGAGGGGAGACAAAGCTGCTTTCTACGAAAGGCCTCATTTTTTGGTGTGAAATCTGCAGTGAGATCCTCAGCTGAGAGACTGTGGGTATTAGGCCCATGGGAGTCTTGAGGAGAGATGAAAAGGCTTGGAATAGCAACTGCGGTGAGTAGGATAGTGAATCCATTTAGGAGATGTAAAAGGATTATCTTGCTGCATTGGGGACACAAATTGAGATTCCATAGTATAAATTTGTGGTGGGTGCAGTCAGCATGGTTCCATGACTTCCTCAACTCTATTCAGTAGCACATAAATAGGACCAAGGAGGCAGATGGTGGGAGTAATCTAAAGATGAGGCTTGGCAAGATGTAGTCAGCAAGAGGCTAAGGGAGCAAGGAATTCAAGGTAGGGGAAAGTGCAGAGTTGGACAGACAATTAAGATAGGGAAGGGAAGGGAGTATGGTCAGTGCAGAGCAGGTGGCCTGGGAAAGAACTGAGGAGTGGAGGGATTAGAGGATGACGAATAGAGTTAGGGATCATTAGGCATAAGGTAAGATAGAGTGCTAAAAGGTTATGACCAGATAAAGGAATTTCATAGTCCATGAACACAGAAAGGGAACATTTGTGAGTAATGGTAAGATCAAGGCTGAGATCTCTGTGTGGCTGAGGTAGAGTGGAGGAATAGATCATGAGAACTAAGTGGTTTGAGGAACTGGCAAGTTAGGGTAGTAGGGAGAGCATCAATAGGTATATTGAAGCCCTCTAGCATAAGAACAGGATTCAGGGTAGAGAGAAAGACTATGTGATCCAGGCACTGAACTCATTAAATATGGAAGGACAGTGGCATTTGGGGTCTGTAGACAAAGGCTACCCCAGATCTGGTTTGAGTGATAGATTTGGATTGTGTGAACCTCAAAGGAGGAGTCTGCTGAGGGACGGTGATTGAGAGAGAGTCTAGAAATGGCAATGGAGAGCAAAGAATATTCAGACTTCCCCACCACGACCAATGAATGAAAGTCCAACTGGAAAAGTCATTGTCATCACACAGGAGCAACGTCTCAGTGAGAGCCAGAAAATAGGAGCACCAGGAAAGGAAAAGGTTTAAGATAAAGACAAATTTATTAATTACGGAGCAGGCATTCCACAGAAAACAGTGGAAGGGGCAGAGAGAGCTGAAATGGGAAATACAGGACGGAGGGTGGGAGCAAGGTTTGTATACCTGGGGCTGAGGGTTCCAAATCACTGAGATAGGGAAGCACCTGGGGTGGGGAGCATGCTAACCATTGGTGAATGAGCAGAGGCAGACTATCAGTGGTTAGAAGTCTGTCGAGGCAGGAAGGTGAATAGAAGGTTCAATAACCTCCTTCAAGGTCCAACCTCCTGGTAGGTGGTGGTGATGTGTCCTGTGAGGTGCCATAAAGCCTGCCTCACAGCACGCAGGTGGAGGCAGAGGTATGACCAAGGGGAATCTAGCCCTGTAGTTAAGTCCTATGGCAAGGACAGAAGCTGGAGGAAATAGAGCAGTTTTTCTCAATCTGAGACTAGGGTAGGGTCCTGGGGAAGGCCTTGGGACAAGACCGAGGCCCTCTACAAAAACCAAGACAGGAGGCATGAGTCTGTGGTCCTGTGCTGGGGCCTGGCTATCTGGAAGCTAGGAAGGCCTTGAGACTAAGATTCAAGCTATCCCTCTATGGATCATTCCTAGACACGATCCAGTCTGCATCCCTTTTACCTACATTCAGTTCTGGACCCATTTCATTATCTACCTGCAGAGTTTGTTCAAGGGACATTTATCAATAGTCTTACTCAACGGGCTACTCATCTAACACTGGGTCACAATCTGCACGGTGTGCAATTTTCAGCCACTTTTTTTTCCAGCGTAGAAATGAGGTAATGGAATGAGAGACTCGGAGGTTGAGATTAAAGCTCGAGATGTAGGCTTGGAAATTGTTCCCATTCACAGAGTTGAAGTTCTAGACTAGATTTTCAAAATGGAAACAAGCTCTGGGGATGGGGCTGAGGAGATTTAGGCCCAGGAGGATGGAGATGGAGGGCAGACACAAGAATGGGGCTTGGATATCGGTGGTCAACGAAGAGTAGGATGTGGGGTAGGGGGAGGGCTGAAAAGTTTAGTGTGGCCACATCAGGATTAGTTGGGCCAGCTAGGGTAAAGGTATACCTGAAAAATGAGGGCCAGGACAAGCCAGAGGGCCATGAGTCAGAAGCCATGCAGAAGGACTTGGCCATAGGAAGACAAGAACAAGAAAATAAGTAGGGTGTCTTGAAGGCCAAGGGACTTAACCCAGAGGGGGAGAATAGGGGGAAGGTGGGAAGGTGAGCAGAGACACTGCTGAACCCTCTGTCCTTGTGCTCCCCCTTCCCTTCCCCCAAATGCATGTAATCCTTTGGCCTTCCCTCTCTCTGCCAGTGAAGGGGAGAACCAACCTGAAGATTAATGAGAAGTTCCTGACTCCAGATGGGACCCCCAACCCACCTCATAAAACCTTGTCTCGGAGCTGCTCTGCCTCTAACCTGAGCCTTTCCAGCAGCGCCTCAGCCCCCAATAGCCCCCAGGCCCGAAAGGTGAGATTGTTGGATGGTAGGCAGAAAGGCATCTGGATAATCAAGTTAGTCTTCTCCTCTGGGATCTCTCATCCTTGTCATCTCCTGCCACCAAGGTCCCTGACATCCCCCCCTCTACCACCTCCCTTAGCCAGTGGTGGCTTCCTATGCACAGACTTCTCCCTGCCCAAGGCCATTGGCACACACCTACCCCAAGCAGGGGGTGGAGAGGGAGGGAAGGTAGCACCCGGGACTGGAAAGGGCAAGGGTGGACATGAGGGTGAGGCCAAGACACTGATGCCACCTCTTCTCTCTTCCGTCTTACAGTCAGTGCTTCGGAGAACCCGGTCTGGGGACAGAGCACCCCGCCCCTTCAGCACCTCGCTGCTCACTAATAGCACTGATGGCAAGCCCAGAGCAGCTCTAGAGCTATCAGTGGAAAGCAAGCCTATCCGGGTACCTGTGGACACAGGACAGGTACCTGACCCAGAAAGCACAGAGGAGACACTAGAAGCTACACGGCAGGCACCAGAGGAGTCAGAACATATGCCAGAGAAAGCAAGGGAGCAGGTAACCGAGGAGATCCGGCAGGCATCAAAGACAGAGCAGGCACTGGAGAGCAAAGATCCGGCCCCAGAGGAAACAGAGGGGGCAGGTGGGAAAGGGGCAGAGGGGGCAGCAGAGGGCACAGGACAGGAACTGGAGACAGAAGCACGGCAGGCACTGGAGGAGACAGCTCAGGTACTAGAGACAGAGTGGGCGCTGGAGGGCACAGGACAGGTGCTAGAGAAAGAAGCACAGAAGGAACTGAAGGAGATAAAGCAGGTACTAGAGGCAGAGTGGGCACCAGAGGACACAAAGCAGGCACCAGCACGGAGAGAAAGGACCCTGGAGGAGACAGAGCAGGAATCAAAGGGGAGATCAAAGGCACTGGAAGAGAGAGAGAATCTACAAGAGAAAGAGACCGAGCAGGCACAGAAGGGGACAGAGTGGGTACCAGAATGGAAGGAGAGGGTGCTGGGAGGGACAAAACAGGGATCTGAGGAAGAAACAAAGGTGATGGGGAAGGAGGCTCTGGAACAGTCACTAGAGGAAACAGAAAGGACAAAGCAGGCAGCAGAAGGCACAGAGTGGGCAGCAGGACAGCCAGAGAGGGCAGCAGAGGGCACAAAGTGGGCAGCAGGACAGCCAGAGAAGGCACCAGAGGGTACAGGGTGGGCACCAGGACAGACAGAGCAAGAACTGGAGGGGAGAGAGCAGGTAACAGAACAGAGAAAGCATGAACCAGAGGAGAGCAAGCAGGAGCTGAAGGGCACAAGAACACAGCCCAGGCATAGCTGAGCTGTGGACGAATCTGGAGGTCTATGGCTGAGGAGAAGCAGCCCAGGGCTTTTAGGGCTGAGGAGGGTAACGCGGTGGGGGTGGGGAGAAGATGGGACCACACCTATTCCTCCCTCCCCAACCCCCCATCCTCCAGTTCCAGGGGGGATGTTCCAGGAGACAGTTCCAGGACTGTCAGGCTGTGCATGTGGACGGGAATCGGGCGGGGCACTGGGCGGCCTTGGGCTGGGGGAGTCTGACGGGCGCGCCCAGCTCTAGGTAGGCTGGACGTCCGTGAGTTCACCTGTTCCTGTGTATACCCTGCTAACAGCAACAGAGGAGCCCAGTCTCCCAGCAGCCCTGCCCTCGGGGGCTTAGGTCTCCCGCTACCCTCACATCTCAGCAATAAAGTTTTATATAAACACTAATTACTCTCTTGTGACTGTCCTTATCTCCCTGCCCTCCCCTTCCCTTTCTCTCTTCCCCTACGCAAAGTTCAGACCGCCCAGAATTTCCCTGGTAAACTAGATTCAAATGTCCCTTCTCCCGAGGCGGCCAGCAGAGGAGGAGGAGGAGCTGCCCCGGCCGGAGCTTGGATCTACCCCCACCATTTCTTAGCTAGGCTACAACACGCCCACCCCCATCCCAGCACCTGCCAGAGGGGGAGGATCAGGCTACCCAGCCTGGGGTTGGAGGAAACCGAGTAGGGTAGGGGTCCCTGAGCTGGCCACTCTTGTCTGGTTCATCTGTTCAGTAGTGGGGTCTTAGGCGACCAGTTAGAACCACCCCTCAGACTCCAGGGTCCTGACAGACATGGAATGATAGGATGGAACTGCTCAGTTATGAAGGGGTGTATGTGAAGGCAGGTCAGACCGAGGGTCCCTGTGCTGCCAGCCCCAGTCCCGACTCAGCAAGCCATTTAAGGACTGGGGTCCTGGGAAGCCCCCCTACATCCCAGGGTCCGAACAGACAGAGAGGGGGGAGGATAGGGTTTCCCATATCAGAGTGGGAGGACCCCACTGGCCCTCGCCCCGACTCATCTGGGGCATTTCGGGGCTGGAGGGTGAGGTTTTGGGAGGGAGAAGCACAGCTCCTACTCCACTCAAGGTCTCCAGCCCTAGAGCCACCCTAGGTCAAGGGATGCTACCTTCCTGGCCCTACCTGTGTGCCCCCTCCCACTACCACCACATTCCTTTCCTCTGACGTTGGGCGTCGGGAGCAGCGAGGGAGGGAAGGAGGGGCCCTGTCCCATTGGCTTCCCCCAGTGCCAGCAACAGGCCCCACCCCTGGCTACTCTCACAACCAGAGGGCAGCTCCTGGGCCCTGGGGGCATGAGATGGTGTAGGTCCGCAATTGTATGTAAGCACACCTGAACGGCTCAGTGCGAGTCAGACTGCACCACCCCCGGGGGTGGGGAGTGGGGTTAGGAGTCAGAGCTGGCTAAATCCACATCCCTCCTTCAGCCTCAGTCTGGGTTGGGGGAGGGGAGGTGACTCTATTGTCCTCTCCCAGTTGCACTTTGCTCCCGATCACCTCCACCACCCTCACTCCTCCCCGTGCCGCTTTCTCACCTCATTCCCATACTAAGCCTCCCGCCCCCAGCCCCTCAACCCTCCCCCCTGTACACCTCTCTTGTACCTGGGAACCCCCAAGCCTAGAAGGGGCGCGGGGCTGGGGAGGGTGGAGAGCGAAGGGCTGGTCAGGGGGAGGAGCCTCCAGCTCTCCGGCCTCTTTAGGGGTGGGAAGGGCTGAAAGGTGCTGGGAGGTGCCAGGTTTAAATGTGAGGAGGTGGGAAGTGAAGCTGGTCGGGACCAGAGAGGCTGGAGGAGCTGACACTCATCAAGTCCAGAGAAGTCTACAGGTATGCGCTAAGGGTGTCAGGAGGGCAGGGAACTTAGGCTTCATAATATGGGGTCATGTCAGAGGGAGGGTTCCTTAGCTAAGAAATGTTGTGGGGCTCCGGCTTTTGAGTTCTGGTATTGAAGAGAGAGTTAAGGGGAATCAAGTGTCTTGGGCTGAAGTAACTGGGAGTTATGAAGTGAAGTACCCAGATTCCTGAGCTGAAGAATGAGGGCTTTGCAGGGACGGGGACAATACTCCTGGACTAAGAAATGGGGGCTTGATTGGAAACTACATAGGGGATTCCCCCGGGAACCTAGCCTCCTAGTTATAGGAATGGGAAATTACCGGCGGAATGAAGCTAGGAGTTAGAGTCCCCTACAAGTGTCTGAGACCTGTGACTTGGGGCACCTAAAGCTTTTCCGCATCCCTTTGCCCTCAACAGGTACTGAACAAGAAAGGAAGTGAAAGTGAATCTCTCGTGGAGCCTGGTCTGGGCCCCCAGCAGTCCTCGGAACATATTCTCAAGCCTGTGAAATTTGGATAGGGAGGGGGTTGGTTCAAGTGGGTCTAGGACCTCTGAGACCTTACCCAGAGGAGAAGCATGACTGGTTTGGGGGAACCTGAAAGATAACTGGCCAGTGGGGAACGTGTTCAAGAAATGGTGGGAGTGTGTCCCAGGATTGAGGGGCTTGTTTCCCAAGGAACAAGTTCTAGGAATAAGGAGATTGTGCCCTGGAAATGAGGGTAATGTACGCTGGGAATCTCAGAGGTGAATTCATGCATCTGCTCCTCCTTTCCAGGAGTGAATCAGAATTCTAGAATCTCATTCCCAGGATATAGCATATCCTTCATAAAAATGAAGGGACTGAAAGGGACCTCAGAGGTCAGCTAGTCTAATCTGACCTAGTGCAAAGAATTATGGGTTTCTGTCACTAGACACTTGTGCGCTCTGAACCTCAGTTTTCTTATCTGTAAAACAAGGATAATAACCTGCCTCAAGGGGAGTTGTGAGTAAAGTACTTTGTAAAGCCTTGTAAGTGCTCTAAATGACCAAGCAGTGATTATTATCTCCAACTACAGAGACTGGGTAGGGGGATCTGTGTGGATTTGATCTCAGAGGGCCTGGTGACTTAACTACTCATGTCACCTTGTATAAGTCATTTCCTTTCTCCTAGCCTGTGTCCTTATCTGTAAAATGAGAACATTGGCCATAATGATCTCTCAGGTTCCTTCCAATTCCAATTCTATTCATTGTTTCTTTGAGAACTTTTCAGTGATAGGGAGTTGACTCCTTATTGAGGAAGCCCATTTCATTGTTGGGTAGCTCTACTGGTTAGGAAGTTCATCTTCATATTTTTGTGGAACCTACCTCCTGCCTATGAGTAACTCTTTCATGAGTGACTGTCCAGAGAAATAGAAGCAGGTGTCCTATGAATTTGGGAATATGATAAAAATGGCTTGGATATCAGGGATCTGGACACCCCCCACCCAGGCTGGGTCCAAGGACCAGGTCCCTCATGGGTACCAGGTTCTGCATCCTTTTGAATGGTCCTCCTGGAATGATGATAACCCATCCTCCCTTCTCATTCTTCTCATCAGTTGTCCTTCCCAGGTCCAGTCCAGAAATCTGGAGAGATAGGGAGAGGGTAGGTATGGGTGGTGAGGTGTCTTTGGACTCAAGTTGTTTGTGTGTTTGGGGGCAGGTAGGGGAATCCCTGGGTCTTGGTGTGACATTTCTGTCTCTGTGTAGGGGGATCCCTGTCTAGCCTGGGAAGCATGTATATGGGCATCCCTGGGCCAACCCCGGGTGTGACTTTTGTGTCTGTGTCTAGGGGTATTTCAGCCTGGCCTGGGAGATATGGGGAGGGGTGGTCCCTGGTCTTAGCCTAGATGTATCTGTGTATGTCTGTGGGGGGAGGGGTATGGTGCTTTGAGTGGGGGTCCTACAAATCCAGTTTCTCTTAATGATTTCATAGGAGTTGGGGGTGGGGAGAGGTGTTGGTAGTCTCCCTCCTTGCGCCCAGATGGTTTCTGTCGAGTAAGTAGGGCTGGCCTCTCTAAGCTAAAAAGACCACGTCCTGAAAGGAAAGCAGAGAGAAGGAGAGGGAATCAGCTCCATGCAGAGACCTGTATTGGGAATCAGGAGACCTGTAGATCTTCCAGCTCTGGCCCAACTCACTGGGCAATTTCTTCCCTTCTTGGGGTCTCCCATTTCTCCTCTAGAAAATGAAGGGGCTAAACTCAAGTCTCCAACATGCCTTTCAATTCCCACATTCACCAAGTCTGAAGAATTGCAAGGCATTAAAGGAGGCTTCAGCGCATCCTACCCCTGGATGCAAGCACAGCCCTGAGATCCTCTTCCTAGGGTAGTTGTGTGGAGTTAGAGTCAAGGAAGCCCCTGCCAATGTGTTCCCATTGTTTTCTGGGGCAAGAGAATGCTTAGCACTCAAATGGGGGCCAGCCTGTAGGGGGAAGGTGGACAAGGGATGTTCCCTGGTTCCTTCCTCAGGTGCCTCCTTTCTGACATAGATGATCAGAGGATTGGAGGAAAGAGAGAGCTTACAGCACACTCATTTTATAGATGAGCAAACTGAGGCTCAGAGGGAGTGAGGCAGAAGCTCAGAGTAGGAAGGTACTTCAGAGAATCCACATTTGAAATTTCAAACCCACACTTGAAAAAGAGTCCTCTCTACCTACCTAAAAAGTCTTCCAGTCTTTCTTTGGAGACCTCAAGTGAAGGATGGGAACCCACCACCTTTCAAGGAAATAAGCTTTTGTCATTAGGAATTTTTTTTTCTGACACTGAATCAAAATGAACTTCTCTACAATTCATCCCTGTTCCTTCCCCCATTCCTCCTAGTTCCCATAGGTCCCTTGATGCCAGTATGGCAACTCCAGGGGCCGTGTATTGTATGTGGAGTTTTGGAGCTTCCAGAGTGTTAGAGGAGGTGCTGATCCCCTAACTAATTTGAGGGGGGGATATAGGAGGAGACTTACCCAACTGTCTCCTCTCCCTCCCCTCTCAGAGCCCCACCTATTCCAGGTAAATCTATCTGCCCATTGGTCTCTGACCATCATTGTAGTGCCAGGGGCTGAAGAAGGGCACTGTTTTTCTTCAGTTTCCCGCCCAAACTCTGGGCTCCCTGCCCATGGCCACCTCAATACTAGGCAAAGGTCATGGGGAGGGGGAATTGACTTAGCCTGAAACAGGGACCTTTCCCTGCCATGACCACAGACAGCAATGGGCTACTACAGCTGGACTTGGAGAGGCTAGGAAGAGGAAGGGGTAGCTACTGTGACTCTGCTGGGTCCTGGGTGCTAGGTCCTAGCCTGATCCCTCAACTTCCCTAGGCTACCTTTTCTGTAGCCCTCCTCTTCTCCTTTCCCTTTTCTCTTCCTCTTCTCTCTCCTCCCTTGGGTCCTATCCTTAAAGGTTTTGGGGGGGAGGGGGGAGTTGAATGAAGGGAAAGTAGAAGAGAATCTCCATCTTCCTACCCTTCCTACCCTCCCTTCTCTGTCCCCCTTTCCCTAGATGCCCAGCCTAGCCCAACCCAGCCCAACCTAGCATCAGAAAGTCAGACATCAGACATACCTGTGTGCAAAGACTGAAAGCGTAAAGGCACTGACAGATTGGTATGGGGAGTTTCCAGCCCCTACTTTGACTGCTGCTGAATCACCCTGCACCCTCACGCCTAGCACCACCCACCCATCCATAAGGAGGAAGGGAGGTCTCTCCTTTTGAGTCTGGGCCTCTATGGTCTGTGAGGGGCATCCTTGAGCAGCACTGCTCCGGGGCTTGTGGGCTAAGGGCTGCTTCCTCTGGTACTATGAAACTTCATGACAAACCCCCTCTGGAAAACCACCATCAAAGTGCCTCTCCTGATCCTCTCTCCCTCACCACCCAAGCTCTCCTCAGCTGCCTGCAGTCTGGCTCTGCTCCTGTCACTCTCCAGAAACTGCTCTGTCCAAGGTCACCAACTATTTCCCAATTGCCAAATCCAGTAGCCTCTTCTCAGTTCTCAGCCTTAACCAGTCAGCATCACATCCCTCTCCCCTCCCCCCTTTCGGGAAACTCTTCCTTTGGCTTCAGAGACACTGCTTCCTCCTCATTTTCCTATCTCTGTCTGTGCTATCTCCTCTTCATGCTTTTCTCCCTTCTCCTGTCTCCTAAATACAGGTATTCCTAGCTGCATATGCTTTTAGAGCATGGGCTTAGAAGGTATTACTATATAAAAATGTGCAATGTATTATCTAGGCCAACCTGTACATAGCAAGGAATCTCCTCTACAATATTTGCAAGAAGGAGTCATTTAGCCTGGGCTGGAAGACCTCCAGTGATGGGGAGTTCCCTACCTACTGAGGCGATCCGTTCAATTATTGGGCAGGAAGGTTTATGTTGAATCAATATTTCCCCATCCATAGTTTCTAACCATCACCCCAAATTCTACCCCCCTGGGACCAAGCAGAACAAATCTAATTCCATTTCTGAAGACAAGGTATCATGTCATAGATAGGATCATATGAATATAGAGGTGGAAAGAGCCCCAGAGATAATGTCACACTGCCCCAGGCTTCTCTTCTTTAAGCAAAATATCCCTAGTTCCTTCCAATGATCCATTTGCATTATGGTCCCAAGTCTCCACTTTCCCTTGGTGAATCTTATCCACTTCCACACCTTTACCCTTATCTCTTCAGATGACTCATGCCTCTCTAGTACTGCTTAGAATGCCTTGTCTACTATTCCTTCCTGGTGAAATTCTTCCTGGCATTTAAAGTCCAGTTCAAGTATCACCTCCTCCATAGGGAAGGAAGAAGGGAGGGAATAAGGAAGAGAAGGAAGGAAGTAACAGAGGGAGGGAGGAAGGAAGGAACAGAGGGAAGGAAGGAGGAAGAGAAGGAAGGAAGAAAGGAAGAAAGGAGGGAGGGAAGGAGGAAGAGAAGGAGGGAGAGAAGGAAAGAGGGAGGGAAGAAAGGAAGGAGGGAAGCGGGGGAGAGAGGGAAGGAGAGAGGGAAGGAAAAAGAAAGAGAAAAATGAAAAAAGATTTTATGTTTTAGCCTAAACTCCTTTTCCCCTCTTAATCCCAACCTAAGCCTAAATTCCTATTCTCCATTCACAAGTAATAATGATGATGAGAATGATAATAATAATGATAGATAACATTTATATAGTGCTTGCTATGTGCCAGGCACTGTGCTAAATACTTTATTATCTCATTTGATTCTCACAACAGTTCTATTATCTTCATTTTACAGTTGAGAAAACTAAGGAAAACAGAAGTCAAGTGCCACGTCCAGCTGGTAAGTGTCTGAGGCAAGATTTGAATTCAGGTTTTTCTGACTGTAGGCCCAGCTCTATCTACTGTGCCACCTTAGCTGCTGCTAACTGGTTTAGACCCCATTTTCCAGTGAAATCCCAACCCACCTGCTAATATCCAGCCTTACCTCACATCTCAATGTCTAGTCCCCATTTTTTCCCCACATCTCAGACTCCAGGCACATTGGCTCCCTAGTGGAACCAAGGGATAAAGCTAGGATGGGGTCACTTTGTGGATTGTTGTGACCATCCTGCCTCTGCCCCCTCCTAAGCTCCAGCCTCATCTCTTCTTTGCCCTATTCAATGAATTCTTAGAGCACATCTGGAAGGGGGCAACCAGAATAAGAATAGACACCAGACCATACCAATTAATCAGTCTATCAACATGCATTTATTAAGCACCTATTATATGCCAGGCACTGTGCTAAGTACTGAGGATACTCAGAGAAAGGCAGAAAACGGTCCTGTGCTCAGGGAGTTCCCATACTAATGAAGGAGACAACATATACACAAAGTAGTCCGTATAAGAGACATACAGAGTAGAGGGAAGGTAGTTTTAGAGGGGAAAGCACCAGCAGCCAGGCAGTTAGGAGAAAAGGGGATACTTAGACCATAGAACAGAAGCCTCAGAGGGTACATGAGAAATGGCTTCAAGGACTGTCCTGTGCAAAAGGGATTGTCCTTGTTCTGCCAGGCCCCGGGGGTCAAAAGTAGGAGCAATGGGGAGAAACTGCAAGAAGGCATATTTTGACTCCATATAAAGAAAAACTTTCCCAACAATCACTGCTGTTCAAAAGCAATGAGCTGGAGGGAGGCCACCAGGCAGAGGCAGGGTGACCAAGAGTCAGAGATGTTGAAGAAGGGATTTCTGTTCAGAGAGGGGGCAGACTAGGGGCCCTCTCATCCCTCCCAACTCTGAGACTTTGTGAGATTCTATAATTCCTACAGGAACCTCTGTTGGTCCCTTTCCCTTCCTCTAATGACCAAAGGAAGCTGTTTGGGCAGGGCTTCTCTGCAGGGCCACGTGGTGGCGGCACCTCAAGTCATAAGACCTTTTCTCTGCTTCTCCACCTTTCTAGGAAGTGAGCACTGCTTGAGAGAAGTCTGCAGCACGTGGACATGGACGTGGGACGTGTCTCGACTGCCACCAGCACTATGAATGGAGACTCGGCCATTTTGGTCAATGGCACTGGAACACTTCAAGGCCCCAAGGCCTTGAAGACCATGCCTAAGTCTGTCTCTTCTGAACCCAGGATGGAATTTCCTATGACTTCCCATAATGGGGAGACCTATCCCCAGCAGAGAGGTCCCATTGCTGGGGTGTACTTGGAGGCCTCAGCCCAGCCCCTGAGCCTCTACGAAGCCACACAGCAGAGCCTTCTCCCAGCCAAGCTGGGACTGGCTCTTCTTGAAGCTCAGGCAGCCACTGGGGGCCTCATTGACCCCACTCAAGGTCAGCTGCTCCCTGTGGCTGAGGCTGTGAGACAGGGGCTGGTAGGCCTGGAGCTGAAAGAGAAGCTGCTCACAGCTGAGCAAGCCCTCACTGGCTACCCCGACCCCTATGGTCCAGGGAAGCTGCCCCTCTTCCAGGCTCTCCACAAGGAAGTTGTGGCCAGGAGTTCAGGCCTGAGTTGGCTGGAAGCCCAGCTGGCCACAGGGGGCATAATAGACCCTGCTCAGGGAGGTCGTGTCCCACTGGAACTTGCCTACCAGAGGGGCCTCCTGGATGAGGAGACAGGCCGCAGCTTGTCTGACCCCACAGCTGATGGAGCCCGGGCCTTCTCTGACCCCAACACTCAGGAGCCACTCACCTACCAAGAGCTTAGGAGCAGGTGTGTGCTGAACCCTGCCACAGGGCTGGCCCTGCTCTCGCTCAAGATCACCTTCCCGGCCCTGGGAGGGATGGTGAGCAGCGAACAGCTTCTGGAGGCTGGCATCCTGTCCAGGGAGGTGTTTGAGGACTTGAGGGAGGGGAGGCTACTTGTGCCTGAGGTGAGGGCCCGGGAAGAAGTGCAGCGTTACTTGGAGGGAATGGGCAGTGTGGTTGGGGTCCTCTTGCTGTCCACAGGCCAGAAGAGGAGTGTCTACCAGGCCCTGATGGAGCACCTCCTTCCCCTGGGCACTGCCCTTGCCCTCCTCCAGGCTCAGGCTGCTACCCATTCCCTCATGGACCCTGCCAGTGAAAAGAAGATGGGGCTGGATGAAGCTGTTAGAGCTGGACTCGTGGGGCCTGAGTTCCGGGAGAAACTCTTGGTAGCAGAGCGGGCAGTGACTGGGTACCCAGATCCCTTCAGCAGGGGCCTCATCCCCCTCTTTCAAGCCATGAGAAAGGGGCTGGTCCAGAAGGAGCTGGCATTACGGCTTCTAGAGGCCCAGCTGGCCACGGGGGGCATCGTTGATCCTGTTAGGAAACACCGGCTGCCACTGGAGACTGCGTTTCAATGGGATTGTTTAGATAAGGAGACATTTGCCAGTCTCTCCCAACCTACTGGCTTCTTTGACCCCAACACCCAGGAGAACCTCACCTATGAGCAGCTGTTAGTCCGCTGTGTCACTGATCCAGAGACTGGCTCCCTCCTCCTGCCCCTCATGGGGGGAGATCATAGAGGGCATCCAGAAGGACGCCGGTTCATTGACCATGCCACCCAGGAGGGCCTGAGGAAGGCTACAGTGGTTGCTACGTCAGGGAAGCTCAAAGGACAAAGGGTGTCTCTCTGGAAGCTGCTCTTCTCAGACGTCATCCCAGCAGAGCAGAGAGCTGCCCTGGCCCATCAGTACCAGGAGGGAACACTCTCAACAGAGATGCTGGCATCTCAGCTCAGCGCCACCATCGACCAGGCTGCTGCCGCTTCCCGGGTCACCTTCAAAGGCCTGAGGGATCGCGTGACACCGAGGGAGCTTCTTAAGTCAGAGATCATCAGTCAGGAGCTGTATGAGAAGCTGGAGCAGGGACAAACAACAGCACAGGACGTGGGGGGCCTTGACTCCGTCAGGAAGTACCTGCAAGGGACGGGATGCATCAGTGGCCTGCTCCTGCCCGACTCCCAGGAGAAGATCAGTATCTACGAGGCCAGGAGGAAGGGCTACCTGAGACCGGGGACATCCCTCATTCTTTTGGAGGCCCAGGCAGCCACAGGTTTTGTTATTGACCCTAAGGAGAACAAGAGATACTCTGTGGAGGATGCCCTCCGGGCCAATGTCATCGGACCTGATGTTTATGAAAAGCTACTGTCAGCTGAGAGAGCAGTGACGGGTTACGTGGACCCATATACAGGAGACAGGCTCTCCTTGTTCCAGGCCATGAACAAAGATCTCATTATTAGGGACCATGGCATCCGCTTGCTGGAGGCCCAGATTGCCACAGGTGGTATCATCGACCCTGTGCACAGCCACCGGCTCCCTGTGGAGGTGGCTTACAAGCGTGGCTACTTTGACCGGACGATGAACCTGATCTTATCTGACCCCTCAGATGACACCAAAGGCTTCTTTGACCCCAATACGCATGAGAATCTCACCTACCTGCAGCTGTTGGAAAAGTGTGTGACAGAGCCGGCCACTGGTCTTTGCCTCCTGCCACTCAATAGCCGGAAGCCCCAGCTGGTGAATGAAGCCACCCGCCAGGCTTTCCGGAACTCGCTTCTGCTGGTGAAGTACGGCAGGTTCAAAGGTCAAAGGGTCTCCGCATGGGACCTGATCAACTCTGAGTACTTCAGGGAGGGACAGAGGAGGGAGATTCTGACCCACTACAGGCTGCAGAAGGTAACCCTGGAGCAGATTGTGCGGAGATTAGAGGAAGAGATGAAAAAGTGGGCAGGCATCACCCTGCCCACTCTCCGGGGTTGTGTCACTGCTTACCAGCTCCTGGAGTCTCACATCATTGACCGTGACCTCCTAGAGAAGGTACTGGAAGGGAGGGTGAGCACTGAGGAGCTCTTGAAGGTGGAGTCAGTCCACAGGTACCTCCTTGGCTTGGGTACCATTGGGGGAGTCCTCCTGCAGCCTTCTAACCAGAGGCTCAGTCTCTATGAAGCCATGAAACAGAAACTGTTGGGACCTGGAGTGGCTCTTCCTCTCCTCAAGCCCAGGCTGCAACTGGCTCCATCATCGACCCTGTGACCCACGAGAAGCTGTCTGTGGACGATGCTGTGCGAAAGGGATTGGTGGGGCCAGAGCTCCATGAGAAGCTACATTATGCTGAGGAGGCAGTGACAGGCTTCACCGATCCCTTCACAGGCAAGAAGGTTTCCCTTTTCCAGGCCATGAAGAAAGGTCTGGTCCCTTCTCAGCAGGCCGTGCAGCTCCTAGAGGCCCAGGTAGCTACTGGGGGCATCATTGACCCCAACAGCCACCACCATGTCCCCATGGAAGTGGCCGCCCAGAGGGGTTACATTGATGAGGAGATGGAGAGGACGCTTTCTGGAGCCTCCCCTGCCACCATCCAAACGTTCTCTACAGTGGATGGGAGTGAGAGCCTCAGCTATGCCCAACTCATGGAGAGTTGTCAACAGGATGCAGCTTCTGGCTGTCATCTGCTGCCTCTGCTCCAAACAGCAGCTCCCATCCCCACAGATGAACAAATTCAACAGATCTTCCAGGGCACACTGGTGACTGAGAAGGATATCTCCCTCTGGGACTTGCTCTGCTCTGGGCACTTCACTGAGGATCACAGGGCAGCCTTCTTGGAAGACTTCCGGCTGGGGAGGATGACGGTCCAGGAAATCGTAGCTGCCGCTCTGAAGCAAGTAAGAGAGGCTGAGCTGCAGGCGCAGACCCACATCATGCTACCAGGCCTACGGGGGGATGTCCCTGCTGTCTGGCTGCTGGACACGGGAATAATTGACCTGGAGACACTGGAGGGACTGGTTCGAGGGACACAGTCACCAAGCGAGGTTGCCGAGAGACCAGAGGTGAAACGCTACTTACAGGGGACAGGGTGCATTGCTGGGGTCCAGGTGGAAGGATCCGAGGCCAAGATGGGCATCTACGAGGCCACGAAGAGCAACTTGCTTCCCTCTGGCCTGGGGCTGAGGCTACTGGAGGCCCAGCTGGCTGCAGGCTCACTTGTCGACCCACAGAACAACAAGAAGCTGTCTGTGGAAGAAGCGGTCAAGACTGGGGTGATTGGGGGAGAGCTGAGTGAGCGGCTTACTCAAGTAGAGCGAGCAGCAACTGGCTATAGCGATCCCTACACAGGCAGCACCATCTCTGTTTGGCAGGCCATGGGCAAGGGGCTCATTGACCAGAGCGAGGGCTTGCTCCTTCTGCAAGTGCAACTGGCTACAGGGGGCATTGTAGACCCTCTCCACCACCTGCACCTACCCCTGCCAACTGCCTGTAGGCTTGGCTTCTTAGATGAGGAGACAGGTCAGGCTCTAGCCAAGACCACCGGAGATAAGAAATTTTTCTTTGACCCTAACACCCGTGATAAGGTGACATATCAAGAGTTAAAGGACAGGTGCATCTTGGACTCTGAGACGAGCCTATGGCTGCTACCTCTTTCCCAGAGGGTGGCATTGGATGTAGATGACCACACCATCATGGCTCTGAAAGCCATGACAGTCCCTGTCAAGGTGGGGAGGTTCAAAGGCCAAAGTGTGTCACTATGGGACCTACTCCACTCCGAGTATGTCAGTGCTGACAAGCAGAAGGAGTTGGTAGACCTGGGTCGCTCGGAAGAGCTGCAGCTCTACACCAGGTGGTCACAGATGTCACTGTCCTCATTGAGAAGACAGAGCAGAAGGCCAAGCAGATCACGTTCCCCGGCCTCAGGAAGCAGGTGTCAGCCAATGACCTGTTCAGATCCCAGCTGATCGATAAGAAAACACTGGATGATCTGAACCAGGGGAAAAAAACAGTGCATGAAGTGACTGAGATGGAGGGTGTGAAGCAGTTTTTGAAGGGGAGCAACTTCATAGCTGGAGTCCTCATCCAGGGCACAAAGGAGAGGCTGAGCATCTATGATGCCATGCGAGGCACATACTGAGGCCTGGCACAGCCCTGGTGTTGCTAGAGGCCCAGGCTGCCACTGGTTTCATCATCGACCCTGTCCAGAACAAGAAGATGTCTGTAGAGCAAGCATTATCAGCTGGGCTAATCGGAAGGGAAGTATATGAGAAACTTCTGAGTGCTGAGAAGGCAGTGACTGGGTATGTGGAGCCCTACACCAATAAACAAATTTCCCTCTTTGAAGCTATGAATAAGGGACTCATCTTAAAGTCCCACGCCATCCGCCTTTTAGAGGCCCAGATTGCTACAGGTGGTATCATCGACCCCGTGCACAGCCACCGCGTGCCCGTGGATGTGGCCTACCAGCGTGGCTACTTTGATGAGGAGATGAACCAGATCCTGTCTGACCCCTCGGATGACACCAAGGGCTTCTTTGACCCCAACACCCATGAGAACCTCACCTACCTGCAGTTATTGGAGAGGTGTATTCAAGAGTCAGAAACTGGGCTCTATATGTTGCAGATAGTACAGAAAGGAGAGAGGTACATTTATATAGATGAGGCCACAGAACAGCTGCTGCGATCCAGAACCACCAAAGTGCCCACTGGAAAGTTTGTCAACCAGACTGTTTCCATCTGGGACTTGCTTTCATCACAGTATTTCACGCAGCAGAAAAAGAGAGATCTACTCAGACAGTTCAAATCAAAGACTCTGCATCTGGAGCAACTCTTGGAAATTATCATGAATACAATTGAGGAAAGTGAAACACAGAACCAAGCAATTAAGGTGAAAGGAATCCGTGGGGATGTGACAGCAGCTGAGCTGTTCAACTCTGGGATCATTGATGGGAAAATCCTTGCTGGACTTCCAAAGGGAAAAAAAGCAGCAGAAAAACTTAGCCAAGTAGAAATAGTGAAAAGATACATGGAAGGGACAGGCTGCATTGCTGGGGTGCTGATGCCATCGACAAAGGAGAAAATAAGTATCTATGAGGCTATGAAGAGAGAAGTGATGCCCAGGCCAATTGGGATTCAGCTTCTACAGGCTCAGGCTGCCACGGGCTTCATCATCAACCCTCTACAGAACCAGAGACTGTCTGTGAAGGAAGCTGTGGTTGCAGGCCTACTAGGTGAGGAGGTACAGGAAGACCTCCAGGATGCAGAGAAGGCGGTCACTGGCTATCATGACCCAGACACAGGGGAACGGATCTCCCTTTACAAGGCCATGAAGAAAGCTATAGTAGAAAAAGAGGCAGCTATGAGGATGCTGGAAGCACAAGTGGGCACAGGGGGAGTAATTGACCCAAAACACGGCTACCGTCTCCCCACAGACGTGGCCTATGAGCGTGGGTGCTTGGACCCTGAAACATACACCTTACTGTCAAACAGGAAGCATGGAAGCAAAAGGTTCCAGGATCCTAATACACATGAAAAGGTGAATTATGCAGAACTCCATTCAAGGTGCATAAAGGACCAAAGAACAGGACTGGCTCTGCTTCCCATAGTAAAGGATGAAAAGAATTACAAGCACATTGAAGAAGTCACCGAGAAGGCACTGAAGGCAGAAATGGTAATAGTGGAAAAGGGGAAGTATAAGGGCAGAAAGATGTCAGTGTGGGACCTGCTTTGCTCAGAATATGTCACAGAAGAAAAGAAACAAGAATTAGTGAACAGGTACAGGCAGGAAACATCAAAGGCATTAGAAAATATTGTGAAAATAATATGGGAATTAATTGAAGAAAAAGAAAAAAACAGAAAGGAGGTATGGTTCAAAGGACTGAGAAAACAAGTAACAGCTTCTGAACTTTTCAAAGCAGATATCATTAATAAACATATGTTGGAAGAATTGGAGAAAGGACAAAAAAGAGTAACAGACATCGCTGGAAAAGAAAGAGTGAAAAAGTACCTGGAGGGGACCAGCTGCATCGCGGGCGTCCTGGTGCCCTCCAAGGCGGACCCGGCCAAGCAGGAGAAGATGAGCATCTACCAGGCCATGTGGAAGGGCATCCTGAGGCCCGGCACGGCGCTGGTGCTGCTGGAGGCCCAGGCCGCCACGGGCTTCGTCATCGACCCGCTGCGCAACCAGAAGCTGTCCGTGGACGAGGCCGTGGCCGCAGGCGTGGTGGGCGGGGAGATCCAGGAGAAGCTGCTGTCCGCGGAGAAGGCCGTCACCGGCTACACGGACCCCTACACAGGAGAGCAGATCTCCCTCTTCCAGGCCATGAAGAGGGACCTCATCGTCAAGGAGCACGGCGTGAGGCTGCTGGAGGCCCAGATCGCCACGGGCGGGGTCATCGACCCCGTGCACAGCCACCGCGTGCCGGTGGAGGTGGCCTACCAGCGCGGCTACTTTGACGAGGAGATGAACCAGATCCTGTCTGACCCCTCGGACGACACCAAGGGCTTCTTTGACCCCAACACCCACGAGAACCTCACCTACATGCAGCTGCTGCGCAGGTGCGTCCGCGACCCCGACACCGGCCTCTACATGTTGCAGCTGGCGGACACGGGCTCCGCCGTGTCCCAGCTGAGCGAGCAGATGCGCCGCGCCCTGCAGGCCGCCTCGCTCACCGTCCACGGGGGCCTGTTCCGGGGCCAGACCGTGTCTGTGTGGGAGCTCCTGTTCTGCAGGGACGTGCCCGAGAGCAAGAGGCAGGCGCTGCTGAGGAAGTACCGGGCGGGCACCCTGTCCATGGAGGAGCTCACCAGCACCCTCACCAGCCTGGTGATGGAGGCCGGGGACCAGCGTGACGCCCGCACGCTCAGCTCAGGGCAGCGCACCTCCTCCCGGGAAGGCCTGCGCCCCCGCGGCAGGCTGCAGGCCGCCACCATGGAGGTGGAGGTCGGCCACTTGAGGGGGCGGAAGGTCCCCGTCTGGGACGTGCTGGTGTCCACCTACGTCACCGAGGTCACCCGGGAGGACCTCCTGACCCAGTACGACTCGGGGGCCCTGCCCCTGCCCGCTCTGATGCGCAGGCTCACCACCATCATCGAAGAGGCGGAAGGGGTGCCGCAGGAGAGAGAAGCCCGTCCAGATGGGGGCGGGCGGTCTGGGGGAGGCCCCAGCAGCGGCGGCGGCCTGCAGGAAGCCCTGGCGGGCCCAGGCGGGGCGGATGTGGACGCGGAGGACGCCCGCCGCCGCGAGGAAGCTCTCGGGGCCCTGAGGACCACCGCGATGGAGGTGAAGGTCGGACAGTTCAAGGGGCAGAAGGTGCCCGTGCGGGACGTGCTCTTCTCCACCTACCTGACCGAGGCCAGGAGGGAGGAGCTCATGGCGCAGCACGCCTCTGGCGCCCTGACCCTGCAGGCCCTCATCGCCACCCTCACCACCATCATCGAGGAGACGGAGGAGAAGCTGAGCAAGGTGTCTTTCAGGGGCCTGAGGAGGCAGGTGTCGGCCTCTGAGCTGCGCACCTCCAACATCCTGGGCCCGGACACGCTGCGGGAGCTGGCCCAGGGCACCAAGAGCCTGCAGGAGGTCACGGAGATGGACTCAGTCAAGAGGTACCTGGAGGGGACCAGCTGCATCGCGGGCGTCCTGGTGCCCTCCAAGGCGGACCCGGCCAAGCAGGAGAAGATGAGCATCTACCAGGCCATGTGGAAGGGCATCCTGAGGCCCGGCACGGCGCTGGTGCTGCTGGAGGCCCAGGCCGCCACGGGCTTCGTCATCGACCCGCTGCGCAACCAGAAGCTGTCCGTGGACGAGGCCGTGGCCGCAGGCGTGGTGGGCGGGGAGATCCAGGAGAAGCTGCTGTCCGCGGAGAAGGCCGTCACCGGCTACACGGACCCCTACACAGGAGAGCAGATCTCCCTCTTCCAGGCCATGAAGAGGGACCTCATCGTCAAGGAGCACGGCGTGAGGCTGCTGGAGGCCCAGATCGCCACGGGCGGGGTCATCGACCCCGTGCACAGCCACCGCGTGCCGGTGGAGGTGGCCTACCAGCGCGGCTACTTTGACGAGGAGATGAACCAGATCCTGTCTGACCCCTCGGACGACACCAAGGCTTCTTTGACCCAACACCCACGAGAACCTCACCTACATGCAGCTGCTGCGCAGGTGCGTCCGCGACCCCGACACCGGCCTCTACATGTTGCAGCTGGCGGACACGGGCTCCGCCGTGTCCCAGCTGAGCGAGCAGATGCGCCGCGCCCTGCAGGCCGCCTCGCTCACCGTCCACGGGGCCTGTTCCGGGGCCAGACCGTGTCTGTGTGGGAGCTCCTGTTCTGCAGGGACGTGCCCGAGAGCAAGAGGCAGGCGCTGCTGAGGAAGTACCGGGCGGGCACCCTGTCCATGGAGGAGCTCACCAGCACCCTCACCAGCCTGGTGATGGAGGCCGGGGACCAGCGTGACGCCCGCACGCTCAGCTCAGGGCAGCGCACCTCCTCCCGGGAAGGCCTGCGCCCCCGCGGCAGGCTGCAGGCCGCCACCATGGAGGTGGAGGTCGGCCACTTGAGGGGGCGGAAGGTCCCCGTCTGGGACGTGCTGGTGTCCACCTACGTCACCGAGGTCACCCGGGAGGACCTCCTGACCCAGTACGACTCGGGGGCCCTGCCCCTGCCCGCTCTGATGCGCAGGCTCACCACCATCATCGAAGAGGCGGAAGGGTGCCGCAGGAGAGAGAAGCCCGTCCAGATGGGGCGGGCGGTCTGGGGGAGGCCCCAGCAGCGGCGGCGGCCTGCAGGAAGCCCTGGCGGGCCCAGGCGGGGCGGATGTGGACGCGGAGGACGCCCGCCGCCGCGAGGAAGCTCTCGGGGCCCTGAGGACCACCGCGATGGAGGTGAAGGTCGGACAGTTCAAGGGGCAGAAGGTGCCCGTGCGGGACGTGCTCTTCTCCACCTACCTGACCGAGGCCAGGAGGGAGGAGCTCATGGCGCAGCACGCCTCTGGCGCCCTGACCCTGCAGGCCCTCATCGCCACCCTCACCACCATCATCGAGGAGACGGAGGAGAAGCTGAGCAAGGTGTCTTTCCGGGGCCTGAGGAGGCAGGTGTCGGCCTCTGAGCTGCGCACCTCCAACATCCTGGGCCCGGACACGCTGCGGGAGCTGGCCCAGGGCACCAAGAGCCTGCAGGAGGTCACGGAGATGGACTCAGTCAAGAGGTACCTGGAGGGGACCAGCTGCATCGCGGGCGTCCTGGTGCCCTCCAAGGCGGACCCGGCCAAGCAGGAGAAGATGAGCATCTACCAGGCCATGTGGAAGGGCATCCTGAGGCCCGGCACGGCGCTGGTGCTGCTGGAGGCCCAGGCCGCCACGGGCTTCGTCATCGACCCGCTGCGCAACCAGAAGCTGTCCGTGGACGAGGCCGTGGCCGCAGGCGTGGTGGGCGGGGAGATCCAGGAGAAGCTGCTGTCCCGCGGAGAAGGCCGTCACCGGCTACACGGACCCTACACAGGAGAGCAGATCTCCCTCTTCCAGGCCATGAAGAGGGACCTCATCGTCAAGGACCACGGGCTGAGGCTGCTGGAGGCCCAGATCGCCACGGGCGGGTCATCGACCCCGTGCACAGCCACCGCGTGCCGGTGGAGGTGGCCTACCAGCGCGGCACTTTGACAGGAGATGAACAGATCCTGTCTGACCCCTCGGACGACACAAGGCTTCTTTGACCCCAACACCCACGAGAACCTCACCTACATGCAGCTGCTGCGCAGGTGCGTCCGCGACCCCGACACGGCCTCTACATGTTGCAGCTGGCGGACACGGGCTCCGCCGTTCCAGCTGAGCGAGCAGATGCGCCGCGCCCTGCAGGCCGCCTCGCTCACCCACGGGGGCCTGTTCCGGGCCAGACCGTGTCTGTGTGGGAGCTCCTGTTCTGCAGGGACGTGCCCGAGAGCAAGAGGCAGGCGCTGCTGAGGAAGTACGGGCGGGCACCCTGTCCATGGAGGAGCTCACCAGCACCCTCACCAGCCTGTGATGGAGGCCGGGGACCAGCGTGACGCCCGCACGCTCAGCTCAGCAGCGCACCTCCTCCCGGGAAGGCCTGCGCCCCCGCGGCAGGCTGCAGGCCGCCACCATGGAGGTGGAGGTCGGCCACTTGAGGGGCGGAAGGCCCCGTCTGGGACGTGCTGGTGTCCACCTACGTCACCGAGGTCAACCCGGAGGACCTCCTGACCCAGTACGACTCGGGGCCCTGCCCCTGCCCGCTCTGATGCGCAGGCTCACCACATCATCGAAGAGGCGGAAGGGGTGCCGCAGGAGAGAGAAGCCCGTCCGATGGGGGCGGGCGGTCTGGGGGAGGCCCCAGCAGCGGCGGCGGCCTGCAGGAAGCCCTGGCGGGCCCAGGCGGGGCGGATGTGGACGCGGAGGACGCCCGCGCGCGAGGAAGCTCTCGGGGCCCTGAGGACCACCGCGATGGAGGTGAAGGTCGGACAGTTCAAGGGGCAGAAGTGCCCGTGCGGGACGTGCTCTTCTCCACCTACCTGACCGAGGCCAGGAGGGAGGAGCTCATGGCGCAGCACGCCTCTGGCGCCCTGACCCTGCAGGCCTCATCGCCACCCTCACCACCATCATCGAGGAGACGGAGGAGAAGCTGAGCAAGGTGTCTTTCCGGGCCTGAGGAGGCAGGTGTCGGCCTCTGAGCTGCGCACCTCCAACATCCTGGGCCCGGACACGCTGCGGGAGCTGGCCCAGGCACCAAGAGCCTGCAGGAGGTCACGGAGATGGACTCAGTCAAGAGGTACCTGGAGGGGACCAGCTGCATCGCGGGCGTCCTGGTGCCCTCCAAGGCGGACCCGGCCAAGCAGAGAAGATGAGCATCTACCAGGCCATGTGGAAGGGCATCCTGAGGCCCGGCACGGCGCTGGTGCTGCTGGAGGCCCAGGCCGCCACGGGCTTCGTCATCGACCCGCTGCGCAACCAGAAGCTGTCCGTGGACGAGGCCGTGGCCGCAGGCGTGGTGGGCGGGGAGATCCAGGAGAAGCTGCTGTCCGCGGAGAAGGCCGTCACCGGCTACACGGACCCCTACACAGGAGAGCAGATCTCCTCTTCCAGGCATGAAGAGGGACCTCATCGTCAAGGACACGGCGTGAGGCTGCTGGAGGCCCAGATCGCCACGGGCGGGGTCATCGACCCCGTACACAGCCACCGCGTGCCGGTGGAGGTGGCCTACCAGCGCGGCTACTTTGACGAGGAGATGAACCAGATCCTGTCTGACCCCTCGGACGACACCAAGGGCTTCTTTGACCCCAACACCCACGAGAACCTCACCTACATGCAGCTCCTTCAGAGGTGTACCCTGGATCCTGATAGTGGCCTTTTTTTTCTTTCACTTAAATAATATTCACTGTTTCTTATTTTATTGATTTCACTTTTCATCCTTTAATGCCAAAATTGTCCCCATTTTTGTGTTTTTCTGTCTTTTTTCATTTTCATTTTTTTTTTCTATTTGTACCTCAATTTGTATGAAGTATTTCATCTTCTCTACACCAGTTATTTTTTTTTCTTGATTAATATACTGAAAGACCTGCCATGTCCCATTTTGTATTTTGCTTCCTCTTCACTTTCATTTTTATTTAAAGAACTTTTACATGATGCTTTGTTTTATCATCACACCATGGTCCGTATTTCTAAAATTGCATTCATTTATATGCTTTGGTTTGATGCTCCCCTTTATACATATCTTTCCCTTTTTCCAAAACGGAGAGAATGAGTAGGTGCTAATCGTTTTCTTCCGTTTTCAGCTCTTTTCATTTTAATGTTGTCTGTTCCATGTTTTGTTACGGCCCAGAATTAAACAATTATTCCTTTTTTATTTCCTAAGCCTGCTATCATGCAAATGTCACATTTTGTTTGCTTTTCTTACACCTGCCAAAAAAATCCAGTTCTCTCTGCTGTTAGGAGAAGAATAGTATAAGGAGATAGAAGTCATGATTCCATTTTTGTTTCACTTCCCTTTTTTAGCTATTAAAATTTGAATTTTTCCCTACCAAGTGTGATGATTTTCATCATTTAGTTCTTACAGATGATGTCCGATTCCTTTGAAAATATTTAGGAATATCAATAGGGTGTGCCTTCATTATAAAATTTGGTGAACTTTGTTCCTGTCTGTTCTTGTTGGATACAGTAATGAATCTTAGGAGTGGCATATTTCAGTTGAATTGATATGTTTTCCAAAGAATATTGGGCTGTTACACCTCATGGGAAATAATAATGGCTTTGAATATAATTGTATGTCAATTTCTATGGAATCAGAGATGGAATCCTAGACTTTTCTCTAAGGGCTTGGAATGAAAAAGTCAGAAACAATAGTGACAATAATGTATATCTCTGTAGTCTTCATGTTTTCCTTTGACTAGAATCCTGTACTCAGATGTCTCATTTTGGTGTGAATGTGAGTGATCATAGTCAACTGGAACTCCGGGGGATTTGTTGGTTTCTCTACCACTGAGCCTCAAAAGCTCTTGAAGTTGGTAGCTTTTATAGTATGCCACCACTCATGTCAGCAGGATGAAAGACAATTCTTGTCCAAAAATTACATATCTGATATCAAACTTACCGAGATTTAGGGAAGCATTTGGCTGGCTGTTGGTCTCAGAAAAATGAAGGAACAGAAAACTACTGATTTAATACCTGGACTCCTCCATGTGCAGGGTTCTTCCAGATCTGAATGGTCTCTATCCTCAGGCCAGCTATTGGTTCCTTAAGCTGGAATGCAATGCAATGAAAAATTATAGCCAGGTGGTCAGGCTTTTTGGCTCTTTCTTATATTGGGGGAAAAAAAAAAAGAAATTCAGTTCTTCCCTTGGTCTATGATGTTATTAGTTTTCTCCTTCCAGAATATATATCTTCTTTTTTTTTTTGCATGGGGCAATTGAGGTTAAGTGACTTGCCCAGAGTCACACAGCCAGTAAGTGTTATGTGTCTGAGGTCAGATTTGAACTCAGGTCCTCCTGACTCTGGGGCCAGTGCTCTATCCACTGCACCATATAGCTGCCCCCAGAATCTTTATTTTGTGGTGCTCATGGGAGTTTAGGCCAGTGTTAAAAATTTCATTTCAGACATTCTTTATTTTCATAATCCTTATACCTTTGCTAGTGAAAAAGATACCTTATCTGCCCACTGGCCCAGGAGAACAGGAAGAACTCTTCAACAAGATGTCTTATTTAATGACTCAGTTTTTGTTGATATTAATGACAGGCAGAGACTGGCCTTAGGAATTCAAAGTTAGTACAGTAAAGCACTTTAGCTCTTTGAGAAAATCATGTAGAAATGCACGTATAAACAGATAGATATAACATAGATAGACAGATGTTTCACTATTCTAACATAAAGTTTCCTAAGATATAATTAATAAAGTATATATGTATACAAAGGTACATATAAAAAAATCATTCATATAGAACCTAGCTGCTAGTCTATCTCCTTTTACTTATTACTAATAAGACATGTTTCTAGGAATGAGGACTTTGCAAATAACTCTTGTGAAATTTAGCTTAATTTCATTTGACAACAACAACAAAAAGAAAGAACGATGAGATACACTTATCAAAAAACCAAGTAAGCACAGAGAATTCTTAGGTTCTAATGCAGGGTGTAGCATGCTTCCCAAAGCAAAATGATTTTTTCTCTTTTCATTACTTACTATCTGTGGATTGGGGAAGAGGAGCAATTGTCATCTTAAAACATTTATATATATGCATACCTACACACATATGTAGAAAGAAGAAGCAAGAGGGAGAAAGGCATTAGTATTACTTATAGACATTAGGACAGTGCAACTATGCATTTTTGCTTGTTAATCAGTATTTCTCTTTGGTTCCTGTGGTGAGGGAGTAATCTGTTTCCCTTTCAAGTAATTGTCTTAGAAGGAAGAAAGGCACCTGAGAATCACTATTCTCAATTTATTTTATTTGAAGTGAGAAAAAAAATAACTGAAAGCCCTTCTCTCAAATGGTTGTTTCAGAGCAAAAACTGAGATTTTAATAGAGAGGAAAATGTTAGGAAGTACATTCTTTTTGTGCGTTATGTGTGTGTGTGTGTGTTTATTTTTTATTAATTTATTTTGATTTATCAACAGTCATTTCCATAAGCTTTTGAGTTTTAAACTTTTCTCCCCCTCCATGCCCACGACGGCACGCAATCTGATATAGGCTATACGTATATATTCCTATTAAACATATTTTCACATTAGTCATGTTGTAAGGAAGAATTAGAACCAATAGGAGGAACCACAAGAAAGAGGACACAAAACAAAACAAGTTAAAAAAAAAAGAGCAAATAGTATGCTTCAATCTGCATTCAAACTTCATAGTTCTTTCTTTGGATGTGGATAGCATTTTCCATCATGAGACCTTTGGAGGTGTCTTAGATCCTTACATTGGTGAGAAGGGTTAAATCTATCAAAGTCAGTCATCAAACAACAAGGCTGTTACTGTGTACAACATTCTCCTGGCTCTCCTCACTTCACTCAGCATCATTCCATACAAGTCTTTCCAGGTTTCTCTTAAGTCTGCCTGCTCATCATTTCTTACAGCACAATAGTATTCCATTACATTCATATACCACAACTTATTTGGCCTTTCCAAAATTGATGGGCATCCCCTCAATTTCCAGTTCTTTGCCACCACAAAAAGAGCTGCTATGAATATTTTTGTACATGTGAGTCCTTTTCCCATTTGTATGATCTCTTTGGGATACAGCCCTAGAAGAGCTATTGCTGGGTCAAACATAGTCCTGTTTATGGCCCTTTGGGCATAGTTCCAAATTGTTCTCCAAAATGGTTCAATCATTTCACAACTCTACCAACAATGCATTAGTGTTCCAATTTTAGGAAGTTCATTCTTCAGAAGTTTCTGTTATTGCAGGCTTCATGACTTTGATATTGGTCAGGAGCCAAATTCAGGGGTTTAGGGGGAGAAAACCTCTATTATATCTAGGTTCTTAAAAATCAGTCTTAATAGAGAATAAGCTCTGTATGGTCCTACCATGTTGGAAAAGCTTTTGAGTATTGGTGGCCTGGAAAGATGATTGATAGATAGACAAATAGAGAGATAGATATTTATGCCTGTGCTTGGGTGTGTACAAAGTATCATCTGAGGATCAGACCAAGTTTGAAGAGATTCATTATCAGGTTAGCCGCATGGCATTGGATTTTTGATCACAGAAACTAACAAAGACCAGTTTCTGTCACATAGAGGAAGTTGCAGTGTGTTCCTCCTCCCCCAAAAAAATCACAGAGCTGGAAAATTTTTCAAGTTTACAAAGCATTTTCCTCACAACTCTAAGGTAGATAGTGCAGGGATTATTATCCCTATTTTACAGGAAACAGATTCAAAGAGATGGTGTGAAAATTGCAGCCAGTTCAAGTTTATTCTTGGAAATTTTCTACTGCCTCAGAGTACAGAAGGCATCTAGGTCTGGTCTAGTCATTTGCATTAGAGCCATATAAACTGGACAGTGATGATCCCCAGAGTTTTAAAATCTTATGTACATTCACATCACATTCATAGCTAGAGTGAGTTACTAAAGTGGAAGGGACCCTGGAGATCATCTAGTTTAACCCATTCACTTAACAGATGAGGAAACTGGGGCTCAGAGAGAGAAATAGGCTGACCCAAGGTCTCACAGCTTAGTAAAAGGTTGAGACAAAATTTCAGCTCTGATTTCTAGTCCACTACTCTTTTCACTGTGACAAGCAAGACTTCTCTGTCCAGCCTACCCACTTACTTGCCATTTGGTCCCTTGCTTAAGAGAACATTTTTTAAAAAATGGAATGTATTATCTCAGGAGGAGCTCCCTGGGGCCTAGTCTGATTTTTCTCTGTGTGTACCTGGTCCTGTGCTTGGCACTGTCTGATGGGACAAGAAAACATAGCCTTTGGTCTTGAGGAGTTTACAATCTTGATGAGGAGACACATGACAGAAATAAGATAATGTGACAACAACGTAATTCAGAAAGTTAGAATTAGCAGAGACCTGAGTGTCATCTAGTCCAAACACTTAAAAGTTTACAGAGGAAGAAAGAGAGGCTGAGAGAGGGGCAGTGACCTAAGACTATTAACCAGGTAGCAGTAGAAACTTGATGTTTAAGCCAGATTGTCTGATGCTATGACCATCTTGTGTATAACCCAAAGCTAGATTGCATGATCCAGGCTTTATTCATTCAATCAGTCAAGAAGTGTCAAGTATTTTTTGGGTTCCAAGAATTGTGCTAAACAATGGGTATAAAAAGAGGCAAAATTAGTTTCTGCCCTCAAGGAGCTCACATTCTAAAAGTGACACAACTCATAAAAAGGTAGGTCCATACAAAACACATACATGGTAGGCCATGGTGGCAGAGTATCAGGAAGAAATACAGCTGAGCTCTCCTCCAAAACTAGTCCACAAATACCTAGAAAATGCACCAAAACCAATCCTGACTGGGAAATTTTTAAAAAGTCACAGTGAGTCATTTTTTCTAGCTCAGGTTGGCAAAGGGAGACAGACAGAGGGCTATGGACATTGGGGGTGGGATCCAGCCAAGAACAGTTGCAAGGGGGCATTCCATCTCAGGGACTGACTGAGGGGCAAACAGAGGTCCCAGATCTGGCAGAGGTCTGACAGTGTCAGAAATAGGAACGGGTGCCAACACCTAGGTCTGGGTCATAGATCCAGGGTAGATTGAGGAGGGGATCCACACCTGTGGAAGAGTGAGAGTGTTGGTCCTAGGCAGGAAGTAGCCATGAATCCTAGGCTGTGTACCTGCATATAGCAAGTAGAGGAGCAAATAGCATCTGTGTGTCTCTGATCCCAGGAGTGAATCAATGGTCTCACTGTCAGCCCCCAGCCCACACTAAAGTCAAAAGCAGAAGAATGAGAGCAAGAAGACCAGACTAGAGTGGTGACCAGTTTTGTCAGTCTGAATTTGCTGTGCTTAGCAGAGTGCCTAGAACATAGTAGACTGCTAATAAATTGTTGTTGGTTGATTGATTGAATCCCTTGAGAAATCAGCAGAGGACTCAAGAGGGCACAAAACAGGACCAAGCACAACCGAAACATTTCCTCTGGAAGTGCACAGGGGTAACCCTAACACAAAGTATGAAATGAAGAAGAAAGCATGAGCAAGCAAGAAAAGAACGCTATCATAAAAAGCTAGTATGACGACGGAGTATCTCAAGACACAAACCCATAGGAAGAAAATGACTACCAAAAAAAGCTGAAAGCAAAGTCTCAAAGAAAAACTTGGCTTGTGCACAGAGCAATGAGAATTCTTGGAAGAGCTAAAGAAAGAGGTATTTTTAAAAAATTTTTAAATTTATTTATTTTATTTACATTTTTTATTTTT